ATGTACATTTTTGAGCTAAGGCTCTCCAAAACATGATAAAATGCTACTAAATAACATAAAACTCATTGTTTTCCTAAAATTAAAGTGAACTCAACACATGCATGAGGGAATTCTTGAAAATCATCCTTTAAAATGCTATGAAACATGCATGCATTCATGGATTGACCTTCCTCTCTAGCCCTTAAGCTTGATTTTCATATCTTATAGCTCAATTAACTTGAATTCATGCATGAACAACTGAAATTCATAAACAAAAGGGTGAATTTCCTACCTCAAGCCTTGAATTCTAAGTGTAGAGGCCCAATCTCCCAAGTCTTCTTCAAACTCCTCTAATTTCTAAGCAAACTTTCTTGATGAATCAATTCTCCCAACTCTCCCTCTCTCTCTCGGTTCTCTCCCTTAGAATGAGCTCAAATATGATCAAAATGAATAAAAGAGGTGAGTGGGGCTCAATTAGCCTAATAAGTAGTAATTTGTTCAAAAGTAAACAAATGGCATTATTTTAATCAAATTTAATCGTTCCGAACCGAATTTTAATCAAACCTACCATAAAATCCTATAAATCCTAACTAGCACATAAATCAAGTCAATTTCTGATTCAGACGCCGATAAGGCTTTCAATTCATAACCCGAAACTAAAACGTGAACAGATCTTTCCACACCAAACAGATAAAGACACAAAAATAATGCAACACACATGTAAATTAATTCCAAATCTCTCCTAAATTACTGTTAGGCATAATTAAATACGGATTAATATTAATCAGAGGTCGGAGTTGTTACAGAATCAAACTCTTAGTTGCATACTTGAGTTAGTTCATGTAAGAATTTAAGTGAAAGAGATGGATTAATTTGATAATTGAGCTAGAATTGATGAATTGGAACTTGATGCATGTATGCATGCATAGTTCATGGCATTGTAAGTTGAATTTTAAAGAAACCTCACATGCATGTGTTCATCTTGCTTTTGATTTGAGAATTCATGACGTTTACAACCAAAGTATCTCAATAGTTCATGATTTGGAAACTTTGAAACCAAGATCCTTCATGCATGTTATGTTTTCAAAGGTTTGAGCTTGATCTTTAATTCTCCATGTTTTCCAAGATTACACAAGTTTCCTTAAGTTTTTGGCCCAAGAAAACATGAATCTCAACTTGGAATTGGAGTTTTGAGCTGGGAAGAGCAATATGGAAATTCTAGATTCTATACTCTCTGCTCGAGTGAAAGAACCTGCGCTTGAGCGACCACTCTGTGATCTTGCACTTCCACTCGAGCGATCAAAAGTTGGCTCGAGCGTGCAATGCAAGCTCCCAGAAGTTTACATGTTTTGTAAACTGCTCGAGTGACAAAAGTTGTGCTCGAGCGAGGACTTGAATCTCATGATCGAGCGAACATCGAGTGACAAAAATCAAGCAACCAGCACTTTTGCAAAGTTTACAAACCGCTTGAGCCACAGAAGTTGCGCTCGAGCGACCAGTCACATTTTTTAGCCTCCGCTCGAGCGAGGCTCCTGTTTTCAGTGACTAAGTGTTGAACAGCATGTTTTGGCATCCTCATTGCATCCTAGGCATTCCTAGGCCAAAATTAAGACATAATAATGAGAGTAAAGGCTAGAAACACACTAAGAACGAAATGACATGAGTTATGTACGATCCAAACGTGTGTTTCAATATATGTATCTGTTATGTTTGTGTCGGTCACGCGCCGTGAGTTATTGGTCCATTGGTTTGCTATCAAGTTATCTGTGAGTAATAACTTAGTAAAGTTATGTTCGATATAAAATACTTTTTGAATATTATGATATGATATGAACTGTGTTTGAATGGTTGAAAAGAATGTGTTGTGATTACATGAATGATGATCCACTTCTTTGAAATGTAATTGTGGTATCCTTAGCAGAGGCCCTCGTCCAGGGGACATAATACTGTGGCTTATGGTCATGAGGCCCTCGCCCGGGGGAGATAATACCGTGACCCAGGTCCTCGCCCAGGGAAAACAATACCGTAGCACAAGCTCTCACCCAGGGAAAATAATACTGTGGCCCACATATGAGATATGTTACCCGGTACCGGAGGTTCCAATGTGAAACTTAATATGCTTGACCAAACAGATATGTTTAATGCTAACGGAAACACCACTCATGATATGAATATGTTTATGACTTTGTTTTTTATACAAATATGCTTATGCTTTTGTTCAATAAGAGATTTGAAAGTTATATCAATGACGGACATCATTCATTAAACCCTTTTACTCTATTATTATTCGCTGGGCTTTCGCTCACTATTTATATTATGTATGTAGGTGACCAGGCGCGTGACCAGGCTTAGAGTTGATGACCTGGCATCTTAGTTTTGTCAGCTAGCCATTGTGTCTCCGAGTAGGTTCCCTTTTGTGAGTGAGTCAAGTCTAAATGGCTTATGTTTAAAACTTTGTCTTCTTTTTGGTATAGAACAAGTTCTGTTCATCTGTACACTGGGCTAAGTCCCACTTTTGTTTTATCTGTATATAAGAGTGATGTACGACTAATGTATATATATATATATACATATATGATGTCACATGTGTGTTATCAAAGTTTAAAATTATCTGTCCCATTTATGTCTGCGCAGCTTAATGGACTACGTATAATTTTTGTATATTTGCTTCCGCAGCCCCTAATTATATGTTATTCTGTTCAGAGGCCTTTGATAATTCAATGATTACTGGTCGGTTACGACGCTAAACTTATAGGGACAGGTTTGAGGTCGTGATAGATTGGTTACTTGGTTTTCAAACTTTTGTTGTCTAGAATTTTACTTTCCCGCTTGAGCGTCACTTCTTGCGCTCGAGCGGGCTTTATGAACTCTCAATACTTTTGCAGGTCTATAAAACTACTGGAAGAGTGTATTCTACGCTCGAGCAGCGCTTTCTACACTCGAGCAGTCTCTGCTCGAGCGGCATTTCTTACGCTCGAGTGTTGGTCTGCTGTCTACAAAACTAGTAGAAGTGTGTCATCTGCGCTCGAGCATCACTTTTTGCGCTCGAGCGAAACGACTTGTTGTGTCTGGACGCTCGAGCGTCATTTCTTGCGCTTGAGCAGACTGCGTGTATATCAGTTTGTAATCAGGCCATTTCTCTTCACTTTTTTCATCACTCTCTCTCTCTCTAAAATGTTTCAAAACCCTAGATCTAGAGCTTCTCTCTATAAAACTCTCTCTCTCTCTCTCTCTCTCTCTCTCTCTCTCTCTCTCTCTTTCTACATTTTCATCTAGATTTAGTGATTTCTCTACCCGTGTGCCTTTGTTAAAAAAGTAGAGTATCTCAAGGGCTACGTTTTCATCCCAATAAAGTTGGGTTTCGGCTTCATCCGGGTTTCTTCCTACTTTGCTCGTTCTCTAACTTTGAGGTAGGGATTTTCTACACTTTTCTATAGTTTTTAACTTAGTTATTTGTTTTGTATAAACAACATTGTGATTTTGAACAAACCTAGGGTTTTGGTTTAAAATTAAAAGAGGGGTTTCTCTAAGGTATTCTTGAGAAGGGTTATGGGAGTGAATATGAGATTGTATTGTGATAAAATTGTTGATTTTGATGCTTGGGATGGATTTTGGAAAAAGAGAAGTTTGCCCTAAATAACTCAAACATTTGTTTTGTACAAATAAATGGAATTGGTATTGAAAATGTGAAATTGGATGGACATTTATATGAATGGTGGAGTTGGATATGTATTATCTCTCACCTATAGAAATTTGGATAGTTTATCTATCTTAGAGATTATATATCTGTTTAGAAATATCTGTCTTGGGCTATCGGTGGAGGATAGTTATGATTGTTGTAGAAATTGCATTAGGATTAAGCAAATCGAAACTAATCTCTCATCCGTTGTCATTGAATATGACTATGTTTTAATACATTGTAAATGTATGAAGTTTGGGAGAAGAAAGGGGATGTACTTCATGTGTAAGAGAAGAAGGGAATGTACTCTATTGAATTAAGTTGGCCTATGTGTCCAGGGTGAAAATCCTGAAAACCGCGTGTATACATGGGTGCCGATTCTTGCGGACGAAATATCTGTAAAATAGCAAATATAAGTGATTGTATGATGGTTGTACTAGTTAGAAACCTATTATGTTGTATTCTTAGCTTGGTCATTTGAATGAGATGAAATTAATTTTATGAATTGAAATATATAGTTGGTACTACTTGGTTTGCAAAAGGATTATGAAACGGTTTATCAATAGCATTGCATGTGCATATTATACTTATATCTTTGTTAAGATTCATATATGGTGTTAGATTATTTCAACTGGGTTTTGACTCAACCTATGTGGAAAAAACATTTTCAGGTACTAGTGATATAACTCCACCAAGGACTTAGCTTGGGAGGACTGTAAAGCTGAATGCTCAGCTTTGTTATTTTGCATTTACTTTTGGTATAAGTCTAGGGTTTTAATTGTATTGAGTTTAAGACTCACTTTTATTGTAACAAAGAACTATCTTGGAAAGTGTAAGTCTTTAGAGCACTTCTTATTTGTTTAACTTCAATTTTTTTTTTGGTTAATTGTGACATATGCTATACACTCAGGGTTAGGCATTATGAATGAATACTGTATATGTTTTCCTTTTTGTAATCCCAATTAGATTTAATAGAAGATAATTATTTTACTATTATTGTCATTTATAAATGTTGTAGAGGGATGTTGGTAATTATTTTGGGATGTTATAGAGAGAGATAAAGAAGACTACCGAAGGTGATGGGAATGGCCAGTGGAATTAAGGTTAGAGTTTGGGACATTAGGGTTAGAAGATTAGAAATAAGGGTAGAAATAGAAATTTATATTTGGACAAAATTGAAATTAAAAAAAATAAAAATAAAAATAAATAAAGGGTCAAAAAAATAAAATAAGTGTAAATAGAAGCCTTAAAAAAAATTACTTAAAAAAATATGACCATTTTAGGTTGATCCAAACTCACCTTGAACTGAAAATACCCGACCCAATAACGGTTGCGTTAAACCCAATTAGGATCAATAACCATGTAGATAGACAGACAAGCTTGGTTTGAGAGTAGCTGACCCGGTACCAGAGAAAACCCAATCCGGAACTCCAATTCTGGAATGTATTCCCCACAGCTACCCCTGGCGCGTACGCGCGTGTTATCTTCTTCTTCTTCCGAGATGGAGGAGAAACCAGACTTGTTCGGAGGTTTGGAATCTTCGCTGCTTCATCTCATCAACCTTCACAACAACTCCTATCTCCTCCTCCGCGACCACACTGGTTCGTTCGTGCTTTGTTTTTTTCTCTCTCACACCTAGGGTTTTGTATTTCTGAGGAATTTGTGGTTTTTTTTTTTTTTTTGTGATGGTTTCGAAACACACAGAGAAAGCGAAGAAAGATGCGATTCGAAGCGCGATTCGAGTTTCGGATCTGTTGGTGGAGACTGTGAATGGAGGAGTAAAAGAATCGTTCGTGAATGAGAAGCGAATCGAGCTCGAGATTCGGTCTTTGGCGGCCACAATCATGCGTTTCGCTAAGCAGACTGATCAGTGGCTTAGTGTTTCTCGTTCTATCAACACTGCTATCAAGGTCCCCAAATCCACTTCCCTCTTCTCAAATTTGGTTCATTTTTGCTCATTTTCTATTGGATAATAATTAAATTACTCTGTATATTAGTTGTAGCAGCTCTCAATTGTGACTCATGAATTGTTTTACATGTTTTCATCTTGGTGCATACCCTGTTTTTTTGCGCTAGTTAGGAGGAGTGTAAACAGTTCGGTTCGGTCGGGTTTATGGGAAAATTTGGCATCCAACTGAAGTTTCAGTTTTGTTAATTGAGGAACCTAAACCATCTGCATATTAGGGTTTGGTATCGTCAATTTTTCGATATTGATTCATAATAAACTTTTTAAAGTGTTTTATAAAATCTATAGAATCCTATATTTGGAATAAATGACTGGGAATAAATAAAGAGAGATGGATCATGGATGGAGATGCTCTATAAATATCTCTCCTTCTAACTTTTATTGTAAAATGTGTACCATTGGTGTTTATTATCTTCTAATAATACTAAAAAATATTACAACATAAAAAGTATTAAAATATAATGTTTCGGTCAGTTCATTCAATATCAGTTGTAAACAAATTTAAAACGAAACAGGCCATACCTTATGAAAAACTGACTGAAAACTGAAATTTTGGTCAGTTTCACAGTTGGTTCAGTTTCGTCGGTCTCTCTTGCACCCCTTAGTGTAGTTCAATTATTACAACCTCTTGTTAGATTGGCAAATGGAGGTAGAGTTGGTTCCACACACACACGCACTCAATTCTTGGATGACTATGTTTGTTTGCTTAGCTACCATAGCTCAAAGAATAGTCATGGCCACAACTGCAATTGTTGAGTTAGCATAGGCCTCACTAAACGGACTGCTACTATAGATTACTACCCCATGACAATTTGTAGTTTGTCCCCCGGTACAGTTGTGACTTTTCCATTTCATATTTCACATGCATTGGAATTTGGATTCTAATTCAGTAGCTCTTTTAATCTTTCTCTTCTCAGCTCCCACGTCCTTCCGGTGGCCCCGAGTGTTAAATGAGAATTCAAGTCTTCCGTGGAATTCAAATTAGATTATTGTCTCTTGCATTGAATTTCAAGTTATCTCTTGCAATTCTGATGGCATGTAAATGAATTTATTGTTTCCCATAATAGGTTTGAAATAATTCGAGCTCATTTCCTCTAGTTTTGATACTTTTAATGATGAATACATTCATAAAAGTAATGTGAAACACAATGGGCTTGTTCAAATTGACATTCAAATAAACAACACATTTAAAATCTTAACTTGTAATCTATGAAAATGACTGCCTGTCAGAATGGTTGTTTATAGTTAGAAAAATCTAGATATAATGATGAATAGGTGTGTTATTAGGCGACAGAGCTTGGGTAAAACTGTGAGGTTATAATACAAATTTGAATTGAGAAAATATGGAGTCCAACTATATACACGGGTATGCTTCATTCTGCGTCCAATCTTTTTGTTTTAGGATATGTTTATGAAGAATGTGATAAGCTTTTGATTCCTTACTTTATATGGCTTCCGAACGCACCATAAATTGGAGAGTTTGGTGTGGGATTAGCTCTTGATTACCGAAATTGAGTACGGGTTTGCCTTGCACAGGAAATTGGAGATTTTGAGAACTGGATGAAGACCATGGAATTTGATTGTAAAAGCATCAATGCTGCAATCTGCAACATTCACCAAGCATAACCTCCCACGGCAAGTGCTCAAGCCCTTTTATGTATTTGTGTTATGTAAACTAATGGCGTGGATCTATTGGACAAGATTTAGCAGAGGCTTGAAAATCTTCTGGATATATTTTTCTTTTCTTTCTTCCCTCCCGAAAAGGCATTATCCTTTTTTTGTTTGTGGTAGTTCCTTGCATTTATTTGTGGGGCTGGAATGGATTCGACATCTTCTTCTGGGTCCATGGTCCTTTTCTATGATATTTATGTGTATTTGCTATAAGCTATAAAATATTAGGTTTTGAGGTATTAGACTTTGGGAGTTTATTGTGCAAATCTATGCGATTTATTTTTAGTCTCATTTTATTCTTTGAATGCTTTGTAACCCACCCTTGTATGTATGAAGTTTTTTTGCCCAGAACATACAAGAAAGAAGAGTGTTTGATTATTTTCTGACATTTTGCATCTTTTATCCATAGTGTTACACATATCCTTACTGTTTTAAGTTATTTTAAGGCTACATATCAAAAACTAGACTTATCAGCAGATCGGACTTGGACTGGATCCAGAAAAATCCAATCTGATCCGATTAGTCATCCATTTGAATCCAAATTTAACAAATTTGATAATACCCAATCCAAATTTGAATCCATTTAAAATCATATCAGATTGGATTTGTCAGAATTCACTCTGTTTAAAATTGGATGGATTCTGATGTAGCCAGGTAATGGAATTGGATATATTTTGTTAAACTAGAAATCTTGAGCCTCCAGAAAACAGCCTCTCTAGTAAGCTTCTCGTCTATTATTTGCACACAACACAGCAATCATTCTTCACACATCTTAGAAAACAGAAACTACACAATTAGCAAAGCCCATGAATACAGTGATATACTTTGCTTTTGTATCACATTATTCAAATCATGGACCAGATCAAAAATAAAATAAAATAAAATAAAACATACATCACAGAAGCACCTTAGTTTATTTTCCTGCAATTCGTTCGAATCTGACCACTGCTTCCGGTGAGAGGGCCAAGGTTCCCCATTTTCACAATGGCAGTGGCAAAGTCGGTGTAGAAAGTTGCAGGGCTGTTGCTGTAAGTGGTGACCAGAGAGTCGGTGGAACCACCATTGAAGAGTTGTTGGTCCGAATGCAGGAGGCCTTTGTTGGTCACCAAATTCTTGAAGTAAGCGTTGTCAAAGATGAGAGGGGTGGTGGCGTCGAGTGCAGAGAGGTTGGTGTCATTGCCTGAGGCTGGACAGTTGAATTTGCGGAAGGTTGCGAGTGACGAATCAATGTTGGTCTCGTTGTAGATGCGGCGACGGAATGTTACACAACCAGCTTGGCCTATTGTATGAGATCCTGTTCAACAAAATCGAACCAAGGTTAAATATCATGCGTCTACATGGCTGCTTTATTTTAGGTGGCAAAACGAATCAAGTTATTTGAAATGGATTTATGTTTGTTAAAATATCTTTCGAAATGGGTTCGTTATACAAACAAGTCAAGTTTAAACACAGTTTAACCACGTTGTAAGTTTTCAAACGGAGTTTTAATAATCTATTACTCGGCATATTAAACTTTTAAACTTATATGTACTATAAAATTCAAGCTAAAAGATCTCAACTCATGTTTAGATCATAAAAAACTTGTTCGAGATTAGATTGTTATATAAATAGTAAAACTTGAACACATTATGAAGCTCATTAAAATTTCAAGTCAAATTTGAACAGCTTATTATTCAGTTTGACTTAGTTCATTTGCAAGTTTTATACCTAAAAATACTTGGCCCTAAGTCCTTAATAAGAATATGAAATAAATCAAATTGTTTAAGTTTGACTTGTATTAGCTTGTTAAAAATTCATTTGCAAACAACTTGTAAATGTTAAAAACAAAATTTGAACTCATTTTAGAACTTGTTAATTTTCTCAACTTGGTTGAAACTTGTGTAGATAATTTATATGCATCATAGAATTGTATAAAATAAAATAAAATAAAAATCAAATTACTTGAGCTAGGCTCGTGGTTGATTTAATTAAAATTTATTTGAGATCATCAATTCGAAAATAAAAAGCCAAAGTTGAACATTTTTTATAAACTTGTTAAGTTTACAATATTAGCTTAAACAACTCACTAAACTTACCTCATTTACTGCTAGACTTACCTAATAGCATATTTAGGAGTAACTGAATTATAAATTAAAAAGAACTCAAAGGTTAACCCCTACTAGTGTAAAAACTATGCATTTTCCATAAAAATTAACAAATATATATAATGTGTAATGTTAGAGACCTACAATTTGGATCTCTAAATTATCCACAATGATGTGTTAAAAAGATATATGCCCTATATAATTGAATATATGATAAATTAAAAGTTGACATGTATCCTATCCTATCATTATAAATCAAATTGTAAGAGTTTTTTTTTTTAAGGTGTTAAACATTTTTCATATATAATTGTGATTCCAAATCATTTGAAACAATTCGAGAAGTCAAACAAAATAAAAATGCAGTTGTCAGTGCTGATTTATATGTGAGAAAACAAAGTTGTGTTGCATACAAACTATTCCTTTATAAAAGGTGTGCACGCTAGTAAACGTGTATTGGGAAATTTAAGTAAAAACTCTTTCATTGGATTCTTATTTGGTGAAAAGGACAATTCAATTTATTTTTTTTTATAAACCTCTTACGGAGGAAATACATAATTAAGTAAGGATAAAGTAAAATATTTTTTTTCTTGGACAATATTACCAGAGTAACATGTTACTGTCAAACAAACAGAGTAACATGTTACTGTTATTGTTTACGTCAATTTCAACAGTAATAATTTGTTTTTTTTGTTTTTGCTTTTGTTTTGTTTTGTTTTATTTTATTTATTTTTTTAAAGAATTTCATAGTTAATATGGATCTTATTCGATAGATTTTGATGAGAGAATTCTAAAAATATTAATTTTATTAAAAACCGATATCTATATCAAAAGTTATATCATTTTAAAATTTAATATTTTAATAATAGTGACATTTGTTAGACTTTTCAAGGAAAACTTTTTATACTTATCTTTAATACATTAAAATTTTATTACGAGGGTGTTTTGATTAAGGGATGGTTTGGGATGATCTAAATAAGTACACCTTTTGACTTTTTATAAAATATGGGTTGGGTATGGGTTGGGTTTGAAGTGATGTGTTAGAGAGGTGATATGATTTAAATAAGATGATGTGACTTAAATAAAATAGTCACTTTTTAACTTTTTGACTTTTTTAAATCATGCTAAACATGGCCTAAATCTCCCTGTTAAAATAGGCAGTTACAAATTTATGGATATTTGTTTTTAAATTTAGCAGTTGAAGTTGCAGTTACAGAAGGACATTTTGAGAAACTAAAAAGTTTTTGTGACATTTTGTGTTCATGCTAAGTTCACTGTAGACCTTATATAATAGTATATATTGTATAATTATATGTAGACTTTTTATATAATAGTATAAATTATATAATTATATATCTATTTGAAAATGTGAGAATTAATGGTGGATTGGATGCTATATATCTATATCTATATCTATATATATAATAAGAATTTTTTTTTTCTATGACTTTGTCATTTCTTTTTCTATTTCACCTTTAGCTTATTTTGAAATTATTATTTTGTCCTTTAATTGGTTGGTGAAACAATTTGAGTAGTGGCATTTTGAAAATTATATTAGACATTTTGGTTGTTTTGGTTGGGAAGGTTTGTTTTTGGTTGCCTATTTTGCCCTTAGTTTCTTTGGAAATTTCCTATTTTGTCTTTTTATTTTGTATAATTTACTAATGGTATAACAATTTGAATGAAGATTTTCTCATAAATATGCAAACATTCTGGTCAATTATAATACATAAATCTTTTATTTTTTTTAACAAATTACAAATACACTCATAATGTTTGTTTAAAATATAAATTAGTCTTATAATAATACAAATTATAACTATCGTTTGTTATAAATTTTAATTTAACCTAATAATTAGAAAAAAAAAAAGTAAATAACTACTCTCCTACGCAATAATAAATTATCAAAATTATTTATTGAAAAATATTTCTCATTTCATTAAAAACTGTTAATTGACTTAATGCTTTATTTATTAACAAAATAATTAACTGAAAGATATTTTTCATGTCATTAAAAATTGTTAATTGACTTAAGAATTTATTTATTAATAAAATTGATCATTTTTTATGCGAGTATGATTTTTTTTATTAATAAAATAGGTCATTTGTATATATATGTATTCGCTTTCTACTTCTTTATTAGTTTAATTTTTTTTAAGATGGGGAATTATCTTATCTCTTTTACAATGCCGACCTGGGCATGGGCCAAGAAGGCCATGGCTTAGGGCCCCTCAAAATAAACTCAAAAAAATGCCTCTTCTATTATGGTTTAGTATAATATATTAGGTATGTTTTAAGTTCAAAAAAAAATTAAAGAAGGTCCAAACTAATTTAAAATAAATTGACTCATTAAAAAATTGAAAAACCCATTAAAAAAAATTAACATTGTTATCCATTGAAAATACACCAAAAAAAAGGATCCCCTCTTATTATAGTTTATTGTAATATATTAGGTATGTTTTAAATATAAAAAAAAAATTAAAGAAGACCCATTTAAATTGACCCATTAAAAAATTGAAAGGCCCATTTAAAATAATTAGCATTGTTATCCATTGAAATGATTTTGAAAAAAAATTAGATTATGCAAGTATGATTGATTTATTTGCTTCTAAAAATGCAAGAAGAGTGAGAAGCAAGCGACACTTATTAATTGTTGTAATGTAATACTAAGCATTTTTTTATGATTTTGACACAAATCTTGTCTTTTATCTTCAATTTTTTTTTTATTTTTTTTCATTCAATGAAAAAAAAAATGTAAAGGGCTCCAAAAATTTATTAGTTGATTATTGGCTTTGGACCTCAAAAATCTCAAGGCTGGGCTTCCTCTTTTATACTAAAATGTATACTTTATTTTGTTTATTTTTATGTCTTCACACTTAATCTTACTGAAAAAGAAAATAATATAATTATGTTAAAACGTTAGGATTTATTATATTTTTCTTATGACTATTTATAATATAATTTATATAATTTTATCATATATTTAATAATTTATTCTATTTAATTTTATAAAATAATATTTTTATTTTTAAAAATTATTAAAATACAGAACTTAAATATAGGGTAACACGGTGTCTGTGTAACTAGTATATATATACCTGAAAGAGCAACCATATCTGTAGTAGTAAAACCTTTGTTTGAGAAGGCAGAAATGAGGTCACTAAGATCCATGAATGGGGATGGCAGCTCACTGTTTGCACTGCTTAAGCTTGCAGTAGTTGAGTCTCTTCTCCCTAATTGAACTGTCCATGTTGGCCCACCCAACTAAAATCCCAATAAAAAAAAAAATACATACATATATATTACCAACCAAGGAGGAAAATAAAATCAAACCATTAATATCATCTATACATAACATCAACACATTATTATCAACAAATTGCAAATTGTACAATTTTTTCTTTTTCTTTTACTTTCCTTCTTTTTTTTTTCGTTGGAGAAAAGTTCAATTTTTTCTTTGTACAAAAGTAGTATTTGTGAATTTTATTTATTTTTTAAATGAAGACATAGCGAATATTTTCATGGTCAATAATTTTCGAAGTAAAATGAAAAGAAAAGAAAAATGATATAGAAGTATGCTTACAAATACAACAGAATCGCGAGCAGCAATAGCTAAAATATCAGCACAAGAGACAACTCCAGGACAGATACTCTCGAGTTCAGATTTAATGGAATCAATAACATCAAATCCTCTCAATGAATCTTTATTTGGGCCTGCTGTCTTCTCCCCAGTAAAACTTGCAGTGTCATCTAACAGTACAGATGCATCACATCCCTGTAGGAGGAGGAGCCATACACCATGTTACCCCCAGAAAAATGATAAATCCTATTATTTCCATTGCATTAAAAATATATATAATATAAGAGGAGCCATACACCATTTCATCCCCAGAAAAATGATAAATCCTATTATTACCATTGCATTAAAAATATACAAAATATAAAATAAAAAACATGGAGAAACAGAAATATAACCAAGTGGGTTTAACAAATTGGAGTAAGTTTAGTTGGTTAGAATTTTTACAACTTACTAGGAAGGGTTCAAGTATTGCGTAGGATCCAAATTCCCTAGGCTAGGAACTTCAACTAAGCCTATTAAAAAAGAACTACTCAAACTCAACGTATACTCGGTTCTTTAAAATTCATTTGAAATCGATTTGTTACGTAAACAAGTTAAATTTATCAAAATTGAATATAATTTTAAACTCATTAAATTTTCAAATTAAGCTTGAACCTAATAATTTATATACACTATAAAAAATTAAGCTACTGGAGCTCGACTCGTGTTTGACTCATTAAAAACTCATTTAATATCAGCTCGTTATGTAAATATGTCAAGTTTGAACATAATTTTAAACTCGTTAAATTATCAAACTAAGATTAAATAATTTATTACTCGGCTCATTTTCAGCGCTAGGTTCACTGTACTAAGAAATTTATGCAAGCACTTTTTCATGAAAAAAAGGAGGGAGTTGAACTCTTATGTTAATAATCCTTTCAGGCTAAAAACATATAATACTGGGTAAACTAACAATTATATACATAGAAGCATTGCATGATGATGATGTGGATCTTTCAAATAAACAATCTTCATGCCTCATGTAACTTCATATAAGAGTACTTAATGCTAGTAAATGCATACAATCTTTTGAGGACTTTTTCATTATAATAAACTAATTGACCAAACTTATGTTTTTTTTGTGTGTGTAAAATTGTACATATTTCATGCAGTTCCTACAATCAGGCGGATCCCCTCTAGTCCAAAATCTGGACTGGAGGGCGTTGTTTAGGCCCATGGGACTCATCTCGAGTTTCGTTTCGATAATCTGAATTATTTATTTTGTCGAACACTTCATGTATTTAATTCACACAAAAAAAATTGAAGTCGATCGGATAAACGTAACCTATTTAATTTAAAACGCTTGTCACAAAAAAAAAAAATTTAATAGATGGCAATTGTACTTTTAAAAATAAATCATATGTGTTTTTGTTGATAAATGCAATAAATTGAATAAGTTATAATTATCAGATTGACCTAATTTTATGTATGAATAAAATACACGAAATGCATAACAAAATGAACAATTCAGATTATCAAAACAATGCCAGAGATGAGCCCTACGGGCCTAAAAGGTGCCCTGCAGTCCAGATTTTAGACTGAAGGTATCTGCCTCCTTGAATAAACATATATTATAGTTAAAAATTGAATGAACTGTTGCTACTTCCCTATGGGCAATCAAGTGACATGATAATAGCTTGTTAATTAACAGTGGATAATCCTAAGCCAGCCAAGATGCTACGCTAACTTGTAATTATAAATAGTAAAGCTTCGTGGACAGATAAATTTGAGCCATACAGTGATCCTTTTTTGCATATTTTTACATGCTTGTAGCACTACAGAATTCTAAACGTTTAGCGCATGCTTACATGCATAAGAGATCTTAAGAGTTAATCTAATAAATAACAATTAACTTTTGCTAGAGAGATACAGCGAGAGAGAGAGAGAGCATGCATTGACAAAGCAGTCGTGGAAATGAAGACGGAGCAGGGAAGCGCCCATGCGATGCTCCTTGAAGACTGCATTATTCACCACACTTTGAATGGTTGAGAGAGCTCTTGGGCAGCTCGATGCATAGTAATTTGAGGACAATTGTGCAGAGGCCATTCCATTTCCAAACACAAACAAAAACAAAAACATAGAGGAACACAAACTACAATGATAGTAATAGTATGAATTATTAGATCCCATGACCATCTTAAAAGAGTTGTAAAATATTAATGGCTAGGTTTAGTTTTTGTTGTCTTTAGCAAAGCTTAAGGAGATGCATGCATATATATATTTATAGATGCTTTCCTAGTTGAATTGTTTGACATTTTTGTCAATGTCTATAGGTCCAACTTGCAAGCCACTGCTTAAAAAACTGACTAAAAAGAAAGTGGAAGAAAATTAGGAGAGAAAGCAACTTCTGTAGTTTGATTCTTTAATTTTTTTTTTTTTGGATTCAACTTAGTTTGATTCTTTAATAAAAAAAAATTTAAGTGCTCAAAATTTGATCATAAAATCGGACATGACTATTTTACATGAGATGAAACTTATTAAATGTGTGATTTCATCCAATATGACAGTGTTGTGTTCGTTTTTGTAATCAAATTTTATGTACGTAAAACAATTTCTTTAATTCAAGACAAGTACTTTTTGAAGAAAAAAAAAAAGAACTTGTATACTCAGATAAAAGTATTTTAAAAATGTTCAAAAATAAAATAAATTGTGTAGATTTTAATTTGGCTATACCATGATTAGGGATAGGGGCAGCTGAGGACGGCTGTAATTCCAAAGTTTTTTTTTTTTTTTTAATTTTTAAAAAGCATCATTTTAAAATGTAATAGTATTATTAAAGAATGTTTTTAAATTATATGAATTCGTCCCTTAAATTGGAGGTCTTTCTTTTGATCGGCAAAGAAAATTTTCATTAACAGCATGAAATTAAAGGTACTGGAAGATGACATGCTTTGAGAGAGATTCGGAAGTATAAAAATATCCCTACTACTGCTACTCCCTTAAATTGTAGGTCTTAATGTACATTAAATTGTAGGTCTTAATGTACATTTTTTGTTTTTTTTAGTACATACACAATTAGGCCTCATTTGGCAACATGCCGGTTTAGTCAAAAAGTCAAAAAATTATTTAAAAAGTCAAAAAACTAACAACTCATACCAAAAAGTCAAATATTCTCTTTTCTCTCTACTTTTTACATATCTTTTCGTAAAAAGCCAAAAAGTCATCCCAAACATACTAATTTTTTTAGCTCATATTTTAGCCAAATAGTCAAAAAATTGCTAAGGGGTGTTTTGGGAAGTTGGTAAAAAGCTGACTTTTGGCTTTTTATCAAGCTTTTTGGCTTTTTTGGAAGTGATTTGGGAAATTGGTAAAAAGTTGACTTTTTTGATTTTTGGTTTAATATTTTTTAAAAGTGTCACATCACTCCAAAATGACCAAAATATCCTTACTTTTTGATTTTTGAATTAATTAATTAAAATTTTCTAGAGGGCAGTTTGGTAAATTTGGGTGTTGCGTTTTTGGTCTTCCCAAATGGGATTTGGGGCGTTTTGGGCAACCTGGCGTTTTTGGCAACACACACAAAAAGCTGCGTTTTTGGTGTATTGCCAAAACGACACTAAATTAACCTGTTCCCAAACGAGGCCTCCCAAACGTTAAAACTTAACATCCGTCCAAGCCTACAATAAATTTAGTTTGCACTTTTTTTTCTTTTTTTTTTATTTTTTAAAATATTTTTTACAATAAATTTAGTTTGCACTTTTTTTTCTTTTTTTTTTTGATTTTTTAAAATATTTTTTCTGAATACGTAGAATTGCTATTTTCAAAATTGGCCATTGCATTGGAAGGAAAAGGATTGAAAATACTCCAATGTAGGGTTGTGGCTTACAAAAGGAAAAGTCTAAAATCCAAACATATCCTTTTAGAATTTTTTAGGTGAGTGTCTCTATGGTGAAAATTAAATTTGTGTACTGTAAATTCATGTATAAAATAAATCTGAATTAAAAGATTATAATTCTCAATAATTTTTAGATAGTGTAAGTCTGAGTCTACATTATTACTGCTTACAAAAAGTGACTATGGGTTTGGCATTTTAGGGAGGAAAAACAATTATTGCTATTTATCAAGAATAATTATGACGAAAGTAATGTATGATGGAGATTTAAATATATTGAAATGTGGTGGGCCATGTTTGAGTATTTTTTTGGATTTTTTTTTTTTTAAACCATTTTTTTTTTTTTTTTTTTTTTTTTAATTTTTATAGATATGCATCATTGTTGTTAGAGAAATTTAATAGCCTGAATGTCTAGAAAAATTATTACAGAATTTTATTCAGACAGTAATTGTGTGATGAAAATTAAATTAATATTGTGAGTCCATATATAGAACAACCTAGACTTAATTCGTTGATTGATAATTCTAAATAAAACAAAGGGTAAACTACTAATAAATTCTAATAGTTAGACTTAATTCCCATCAAGTCCTATTGAAAATAAGTCTTGGTAAAATTGTCGCTTAAAATAATTTTTTTGTAACAATTTTTCATATACGTCGTTAAAAATTAACAATTAGTGAATTTTTTTTATCATAATTTTTATAAATTGTTTATAATTAATGACGTTTTTTGATGACAAATTTTTCCATAAAAAGTTTACTCATTAAGATCTGCAGGTAAGTTTCCCGTAAAATTATGAATAAAAAATCCAAGTTTCTAGTAATACTGAAAATTTAAGAGTTGGTCGTTAGTGTGAACAAAGTTTTCAAAAGGAATCTAATTAGTGAGTCAGAGAAAACGTTGAATTTATTATTCTTATTTTTTTTGGGGTTCTTTTTATTTTTTTTGGTGTCTTTTGGCATTGATCTTAATTTCCAAGCCATTGTTTTGCTAATCCCCCAAACTTCAGTAACCTACCAATCCTTTGTAAGAGAAAATTGTTGAAAATACATTGATTCAAATAAGTCTTTGAAAAAATGGTCTTTGAAGTGAACAAAGTCTAAAAAGTTCACATTAGATTTGAAATTAACTGGATAGGGTTTGGTTTCTCCATTAATTGTACATTGTCCTTGTCTTTTTGATGGGACTGAAAACTACATTCACCTAACTTTGAAATGATACAAACACATCTTAGTATTAAAATATTAATCGTTGAAACAAGACCACATTCATACAAATTTTTGTGGAGAGAAAATATACCGACACTTACACTTGAAAACTTCCACTAGAAATTAGTTACAAATACACTAAATCTGAGAGAGAATATGACATATAAAGATTGTAGGAATTAATTTTTTTGTCTCAAAAAATTAAAATTTTGTTAGAAAAAATATTACGGGATCAATTCTTAATGTCATGAGAATCGTCACTAAAAAACTGTCAAGAAAAGTATAGGAAAAAAAACTTTTATCGGCAAAATTTTGAAAATGTCATTAATGAATTCACTTTTTAAGGACAAGACAATTTGTTGTGAAAAATGTTTACTTTTTTAGACAAAAATTTTGGTCATAGAAATATAGTAATTCATCACTATGTATCCAATTTCATTATTAAAAATATAATAATGATATTTTTTACAACGAAAATGTTTTTGTCTCTAAAAGGTTATTTTCTCCCTAAATTTTTGTTTCTAAAATCTTAATTTGTTATATTAGGAGTTGATGTATCTATAAACAACAGTGCCAGTTACACAAAAATCATTCAAGAAAATATTTTGAAAAAATTATTATGTGATTTAGATTCATTTTACATGTAAACTTCACAATATTTATACTAATATATAAAATGAAATCCCGTGCACTTCTCTATAAAACTTTTGTTATTTGTTTTTATTTTTATCTATTTAAATTACACATGTATCACGTATACCATTACTAATATAAATTAAATATAGACCATACTACAATTTTCTAAGCATTTTTCTATGCACCACATTATAATAGTGTGAGTACCACAAACCATTTTGTTTTGTGATTCTTCTACCGTGTCAGCTTTAAAAAAATTGAAAACTATTTTGCTCTTGAAAACAGTTACAACTACACCAAATATGAGGGTGGGGTGTATTTATAAATGTTAGTGCGAGTAGCTAGCAGACTGTTTTGTTTTGTAATTCTACCATGTCAACTTTAAATATTTCAAAACAAAAATGCTTTAGAGCTCTAATATAGGAGCTCTAATAGCTCTAATGGGAATGTGAGACTCACTCTGATGTGATGTTTATGCCTTGCCTTGTTTTTTTTTTTTTTTTACTTGGACACATCACTATAGCTCTCTAGCATTTCCCATTTCAAAAATGTTAAACATTTGAAAAGTTCTATTAAAATTTTTATCAAATGTCTTATATAGGTGTGAGACTCACACTCTGTAAATCTCACACTCATATAAAACATTTGATAAAAATTTTAGTAAAACTTTTGAGATCTCTACCATTACACTAAATATTTTATTTCTTAATAAAATGTCTAAACAAAACACTGTAATTGATTAAAAAGCTCTCTCCTAGTAGGGCTGAGTAAGGAATCCGTGAAATCCGTAATCCGATCCAGTCCAGTCCAATCCAGTAGGTTTGGATTGATTTTTTGAATCCGTGGTTCGGTTCCGGATTGAAAAATTAAAAATCCGTAGTTCACGGATTGGTTCCGGATTGAATCCCACGGTTCCGGATTAGAACCGATCCGGACCGTATACAAATAGTCTATATTTTTATTATACACCCTCCTGAATAGTATCTTCTCTTATTTCATATAAAATTTAAATCCAAACCTAAACTTGCATAGTATCTTCTTTTATTACTTTTGTTTGCTAGTTTTTAGTGTTAATTTGTAATGGTCTAAATACTTATGGTGGAACTAGTTTCTTTATGGTTGTTTAAATTCTAGAACAATTTGTCGCTATTATGAAAAGACATATTGCTATTGTGAAACTAATATGGTGCTATATTTATATTTTTATAAAAATAAAGTGTTATATATATATTTTTGTTATTTAATTATATAAATCCGTGGTCCTAAACCGATCCAATCCGTATTTAAATGGATTGGTTCTACGATTTAAACGGATTGGATTGGTTCCAATTTTTCAGGATCCGTAGATAATGGATTGGTTCTGGTTTTACTCTAATCCGGTCCAATCCGGACCATGCTCACCCCTATCTCCTAGGGTGACGAGAGAGTTTGCTTCTGTGTTTGTTCTTATGTTTAATGTGACAGAAATTATCATATGGATTAAGAAGACCATGTAATTATGCCTGCCTATCCAATACTATTCTCTTATTTCTCTATCATTTCCTTGTCTATCAGGTCAAATAATTCTTTAAGCCCCGTTATTGATTGTGCACACCGCTAACATAAAATTTTTAAAACACCGAATAATTACTCGAATAACAGGCATCGCGCTTTTTTTTCTATATTGATGGGTTCAGGTTATTTCGTTCTTGGGCACTGTAACCGATACTCGACCCTAACCCGTGAATTTTGATACCCTACACCCACTGTCGGACCAGTCTGGACAGGTTGGGCAGATATTTGAACGGTGACCCCTGACCAAAATGAAATTATTTGGCTGTCCGTTGATATACTTGTGTTCTAATTTGTATAAATTAGCAACTTTCCAATAACTAATAAAATCACGTTGGAGCTTAATATTATCGCCTCATTCCTTTTGTTTCTAATCTAATGACAAAATTCAATTTCAAAAACACACATAGCAAATACATATAACTCCGCCAAATGGAGTCACACAACTCTTTCGCCTTGCCTAACACACATCTGATTACACACTTAAAATACAAACTCTTCCTCCTCCGCTCCATCAGTCAGTCTATCTCCCGAACCACGCAGAGCTTCTGCCATCGAATCGCCTATGTTCAGCATTGATTTGAGAATTCATGACGTCAATCGGGACAATTTTTCAGGTGCAGGATCGCTCTTCATGTATATAACAAAGAGATCAGCAAGCTCCTCCGGCACTTCCCATGATAGCGGCTGTGAAGGCACCGCCTTGTCACAGGCTAGCAAGTCATTGAGAGACGAAACCTACATTAACAGAAAACAGATATTTATATGTGCCTATTTATGTGTTCAACGCTCCATTTCTTTTGGCAAATAACTTTTTCTAATATTAGTTGCAAACTTGACGCTAATCTACTAGTGGTGGTGGTGGGGTGGTGGAGATAGTGGTGGGATGGTGGTGGTGGTGATCAGCTGGTGGAGGTGCTGGTAATATGATGGCATTACTAAGATTTTAGTCCAGAAAATATTTTTCACCTTTCGAAAGTGAAAAACATAAAGCCCAAGAAGCTTGTTATCCGTTGACTTTTGTTTTCTGTCGTATTAAATACTCAAAAATACAAATATATACATATATATTTTCCAAAAAATATTTTGCACCGAAACAAATAGAGCGTAAAAGTTCACAACACAAAATTTGTCAACCGAAAGTAAGACAGAAACACATACCACTCCAGGACGGTTTCTCTGCCTTAGCAGCGCTACAGCTTGAATCAATGAATTCGATAACCTACTTCGTGCAAGTTCATGAACAACCCTTTTCGTCTTTTCAGCATTAATGTTGAGATCTTGTGGCATTTTTTGATACACTTCCTCTTCATCAAACTCTCCAGAGCCAGATGAAAAAATTTCATCCACGGTTTTCTTAAAAAGGTTCTCTCGTAAGCTCTCAGATACCATGTTGTCTAAATCAACACCGGCTTCCTTAAGTTCTCTTATCTCCTTTATACTGAGCCTCCCCTGAGCGACCGCAGTTTCAAGGGCAGCCGCCATTTTTGTGGTCGTTATGCTCTTTATTATTTTTTGGGCATACTGAGGAGGTAACCCAACTTGCTTCTGCAACTCGCTTAGCTGCTCGACTCTGACTTTTGTTAACTGTCCATCAGCTAAAATAACCTCGGCTTGTTGCTTGAAAGCCTGCTCGGCCAAACTCCTATGCACCTCCACAATCTCTTTGTTAGTCAAACCTAAAATTGCACCGAGCTGGTTTAACAAAAGATACTCGGAGTCATCTCTCTTTGTGGTGATCTGTGCACCAAATGGGATCCTCGTGACTTCTCCGGTAAGACAAAATAGCAAGTACGTCTTGTAAAGGTCCGCCCTATCCCTTTCTGGAAGGTCATCTTTGAGAGTTATCTCGGTCTGGCTTGCCTTTCCAGAAAGTTCCTTGCTGGGTCTTATTTTTTTGAGTGATTGAATGGATTCCCATTCCTCATCCTCATCATCTATCTGCCTATCGTCCTCCTTAATGGCCTCTTTCGAGGTAGTTTCAGATGATTCTCCTTTTATGTCTGCGACTAGTTCAGTCACGACCAAGGAGTTGAAAGCAATCATCCTTTTAAGTTCTTTTGCAGACTCGATACGGCTCCCAGCTGCACGTGATCGTTGTACGTACGTCATGAAAATTTTTCGGACCTGCATAAACAATCCATGTCATTTGAAGCAAAGTAAAACGCATCAAATTGAGATAATAGTATATTTTATAGCAGCAGCAAGCATGTTACAAAAATAAAAAATGACTGCGTCAGATGTAGATATTGGTGCACCTAACATGTGCCATAGGCACAATGGCAGGGACATGTGCTTTACAAGGGACGTACTGATATACAAATTGGACAAGTTTGGACCATTTCCCTAAAATTTGGCCATGCAAAACCGTGCCTATTTTGGGCTTGTTGAGCAAGCTCAAACCTCAAGGCCCCAGCCCAGACCACTCAAACTTTCTTAGCTGCAGTTTGGCAATGGCTTTTTTAGTTTTTTGCTTTTTTAGAATCTAAAAAAGTTGATGCATTTGGTAATTGCCAAAAGAAGTTACTTTTTTAGGTCTTTCCAAACTTGCTGCCTTGTAGTATTGTGGAGCCCAGACAGTGGAATTTCTGAAAGTAGAGGGTAAAATTGTCTCTTCACAAATTTGCTAAAAAAAAACCTGCTTTTAAAGTTTAGCCTTCCCCTTTTGACTTTTTTAGTCAAAAAGTTGCTTATTTAGGGTAATCGGCCTGCCAGAAAGACAATAACTACAAGGTGGAAAATAGGTGTAACATACGATTTAGGTCAGCACAAGGTGAAATCTCATTCCAGATGTTTGAACGCATCCAAAAAATAATAATTCCTATTTCCTAGAACACATTCAAAGAACAATAATTACTAGAGGACAAATACATAAAGTAGTGGAGGTGGATACTCACAGCCTTACTAGCAATAGACATGGCAACCTCCCTGGTTAAGCGTAAACCATGGGCAGCCTTTCTCACAGATTCTTTTACTTCGGGATCATATCCATCAACTCCTGCAGCAATTGCATCCTTCACAACCTGGGAAAAACAACCAGATCAGCGTTACTCAACAAGCTTCTCAACATTATAACCAGTGGGCATTCGCAGCATCATAGGAACGTGTCATACACATGCAAGACAAGATTGAGATATTTCACATATCAACATTCTACATCAGCAAACCACAGATCAAAGTGTCATACATAGTTTAATTAATCAAAACAAGGCAAGAAACTCTAAAATTATAAACAATCTCTGCCTCCCTATCAAGGTTTCAAATCGCTGTATCGGGACAAGTAGCGGTATCAGTCGCAGTGTATCTGGATCAGGAGTATTGAACGATACATGTTGGGAATCAGGAATCAAGGTTGTGAAGTTTTTTAAATTATTAGTAGTCTCTCTAAAACTCAATGATATGCATTTTCTAATCTCTCGTATTAGATTTGTTTCATTGATGGGTTGCATTTGGGCCAAAAAAGATCAACCTAACAACTTCCTTCTTTTCCTATGGATAAACGGCACCATTCGAGTTTGGCAGTTAAGCTTAATTTTTTACATTATTTTTACTCATTTTGAAGAATTAATCAATTCTATAACATGGTTTGATATATATTTTTTCTCTCTTATCCACAAATTTGAATCTGAAATTTTGAAGAATAGGAAAGAGGCCAAAGTGCTTATCCCATATCGGTTAACTTCGGTTGTCTTATTATGCCCTTTCTTTATAAGCACAACAGTTGTGCCTTAATGTTTTACCGTGAGCTTACTGTCCCACATTGGTAGGAAACATGTTTCTTCTATCAGACTCTTTATTACTAATTCAATTCATGGGTAATGGATAGCAATGCTTGCAGGGATGGGCTTCGACGTTGAATAGCCAGCCCCATGGGTTATAAGCAGCCCAAAGCCAAAAGGACAAAATTTAAACAATTTGAATAGCTACTGAACTGGCCCAGTTTCCTGATAAATCAACAATTTATTTGGTTTAGGCCAATACATGTCGCAAACCGGCCGGTTCGCATATGATTTTTTATCCCAACAGTAAACCAGGGTGTTACCAAACTGGAGGGGCTAAAGACCGATACGATTATGATTGTGATATAAACAATATTTGCTTAACCAGCTAACTCATGGTAGGAATGGTAATGGAGAAATTGTTGCAGCTAAGTAAGGGTAGGCAATAGAGTCATGGCCTTGGTCAATAGTTAAAGCTCAGGGTGTAGAAATTTAAGGAAGAGGGAGCGGAAAGTTTAGCCATTACCCAATACCTAATCTACCCTCCCAGCAACCTCTCACTCAGAGACCAAACACTGCATAATGGTAGTTTTTCTAGTTAAAACACATTATATAACAAGCAACATCGACATGAAAGAAGCTATCATGCTTACCTTTTCAAACAAGCTGCCACAGATATCTTCATGAACTGCTTCAACAGTTTCGCGAGGAATACAAAGCATGATCTGCAACCGCTCCAGAGATCTAACATCTTCCTTGCTGAGCTCTCCATCAGCAACAGCTTGCTGAAGCTTTTGCCGGTAAATTTCTAAAATAAAAATGAACATAAACAAATCAGACTCTTTTGTGATTTAAGTTCACTAAAAAAAATAGGGAAAACATTTAGAGCAATTAATATCAAGGCACATGACAAAAGATTTACATTCCTTTCCTCTGCTACTCCATGTTACAGTACATGTTTCACTTCACATTCATGGTATGTACCGTATCTAATTGGCAGAAAAGATATTTACAGTGCAGCTCTAAAAAGAAGTTGCTGACTACCATTTGACATGCAAACATGTGTGGATGGTGGAAAAGCTCAAACAACAACAGGGAACGTCTACTGCTGCATGCAACAAGTTCAGAACAGCAATTTCAGTGTAGATGATAAAATGTACAATCTATCTGACCTTCATGGATCCCAATAGCTTTCTGTGGATCAAAGTGCAACTCCTCGCAGAGGTTTTGAAGGAATTCTGCTTTACTCTGAGCAGCTTCTAAATCACCGCTTGATACAGACTGAGCAAGTCGTTTACGATATATTTTTGAAGTAACATCCAGCATAATGGATTCTGCCTCCCGTTTACCTAAACCAAATATATTCCTCAATTGGTTCAATGCAGCAAGCTACAAACAGAGAGAAAAAATAAAGGTTAAAAAAAATTAAATGACTGTCAAACATAAAAACAGATGACAGAAAAAGCAAGCACCCAGAAAACATAAAAAACCAGAAGAAATTAGGAATTCATTTTGATGGCAACTGAGTTTTAAGCCAAGTTTGGCATAACCTAAATAATACAAAAAGTTAAAAAGTCACTATCCTATTTAAGTCACATCATCTTATTTAAATCACATCACTTCTCTAACACATCACATCAAACCCAACCCAACCCAAACCCAACCCATATAAGCCAATAAGTCAAAAAGTCATGCCACTATCTACCACCAACACCACTATCATATTATATACATGCCACTATCTTATTATATGCATTAACACAAATTTCCAGCAATATCTTTTAAGCAACACTAGTCTACATGCACCTTTTTAGATAAAGATATACAATAAAGTAGTCTCAACTTAAAACTAGAGAGACACATAACACACTTGTTATATTTCTCTTCAAATTTAGGAAATACACTATTAGCTTTATTCCCTTAGAATTTGAAGAATACATCATTAAGTTCATATAATAAAATTAACAAAGAATTAACTCCTGATGTTGCATTTTGCATACCCAACAAGGGTCAGCAACAAAAGCTCATAACCTTATGTGCCATTAAACTCTGGTTATGACCTCCTCCCAGTTAGGTTCAAGCCATCATGTCTTTTCACCTCCTCAACTTATATTTAAGGCCTTCCACCGGTTCTTATAACTGCTTATCCTTGAGCCATACTCCCTATAGGTGCAGTCATTTATCTTTGTGGCACAATACCAAATCATCAGTTTTTTATCTTCCTCTGCTTGGTGCTAATGCAAATTTAAGCTTATCACAAATGAACTCATTTCTTCTTCTATCTTTGTTGATATGTTCTTTCTTTTATGAGTTATTGATTCTTTTGTGGACACATGGCCAGATCAACATCCTTATTCCAATGACACTCTATTTAAAAACATTTTTCCATTCATTTTATAATTAGATTAGAGGCACATATGCTCTTCCAGAAAAAGGTTAGGTTCATTCGGAAATCATTAAATGATTGTAATAATCCTCTCAGTAGTACTATGCAAAATTTGTGAAACTGGATCTTCTAAACCGTTATGTGCGTAGTTAAACAGTGAAGTGTGTTGCTGGCCTAAATACATTACATGGACAAAGCAAACATAATCCACTGCACAAACAAAAGAACTACACAAGTCAGCATCAATATTCATCAGGTAGCACAAGTGCAGCTCATATTGCAACCAACAAACACGCAGCATAGTGTCTGAAAATTTTCACCAAACAAAAAACTACTACAGTTTATTTAGTGGAATAGTTATCTGATCAGTTGAAAGTTGATACAGTATATACAGAATTAATAATTCGCCTCACAGCTAGACTAAATGGCTTGAGAAAATAAACATCTCTACAGAATAATCCACAATTGGATTTAAGTAAAGCAACATCTTTGCCCAAGGGAAAGTCACCTTATTCTCTTCCATGCGACCACTTGATAGTGCATCTGTAACATATGCTCTAAATAGGAGCTTCAAGTCATCCATCTGTCTATCACCATCATACTCACCACCTAAGCCAAAAAGTCTGTGTTAACTTCAGCTAGCAGTTTTTAAGAAGTAATGCCAGCAAGCAGATTCAGGATGTATATGCAGTAGAACTAAATAATCTCCACAAGGAACACAAAACAATCAATTAGCATCCCTACCTATTAAATTCACTGGCCCGACCCCACAAGCAAAGCGACTGGCATCAGGATGCTTCCCCAATGAGATCAGTAAATTATTGAATGCCAGCATCTTATTAAGCTCTTCAATGACATGTGAAGCTGTCCTGCTGGATACCCTAAGTTTATTTTAGGTAAGGCAAATGCTAGAGAGAACAATATTAACCACTATAATGAGACAAAACATCTAGTGTGCCCAAGGGAGGAAAAAAGAAACAAAATATCATTTTGCAGTCAATAATTTGGAATGGTAAGAGCGTGCACCATACACAATCTTAGTCAAACATTTAAGGTAAATTATGAGTGTTTTACTACATTAAAAAGAATGTCCACCAATTTTGTTTAATACTGGCATAAGTTGTTCTAGTAAAGGAAGTTGTGGTCATACACTGTTCTTGCCCTAGACTTCAGCATACTGAGCGCAGTTGATATGTTTTCCTCGACAAGTTTTCTTGTATGCACTCTAAACATGTCTTCTGCAAGCTGCGAAAAACAATCTCTAAAACATAAAGAGGCAACTATAAATCATTAAATATGTATTAAGGTTTATTAATAACAGCACAATTAGAAGCGTACCTCATCAGAAAGTCGATAAAGAAGTTGGGCTTCTCTCAGGCTAACAAGCTGTTTCACATCAACATCTGAAACATTTAACCTTCGTTAGCATTGAGAGAGCCTTATACAGACTCAGATGTCAGATGTAACAGAATTACAAAGAAAATGTTTCCCTCAAATTCACAATTACTCCATGAAAAAGATAAAACATCATAAACTAGGCTTACAGAAAAAGACTAAACATAAACAGGATGTTCCATACTAATATTTCATTTAGATTATGATTGAGGAGGGGAAGTGAAGGATTTGGAGGGGATAAAATTAGTTAAAATCATGTCTGGATTTTTTTTAAAAGAGGTAATGGAGGGTTATGAGGAGCAGAGCGAGTGAACATGTTAAGCATTGCGCTTTCCCTCCAAAATTGGGAGGAAACGGAAGGGATGTGAAGTGCTTTTCATAATAATTTATTAATATACCTAAATTAAATATGTCCCTCCTTAATTAAGTATTGTCTAACCAAACAAGAGGGGGGAGACTTTCCATCCCTTTCCTTCTCCCTCACAACTAACTCTTCCCTTCACTTCCCCTCTCCTCAATCCAAACACAGTGAGGAATCATTTATGGTAGAAAACCCAGCCATAAACTTATAAGAGTTCAAAGCAGACGTGTCCACTTCAGTAAAATTAAGCACCTCTCATTCAAACAAATCTAAGCAGTACATTCACATGCAACCAACTAAAATTTAACATTAATTTGCAAAGAACACCATTTTGGTTGTTCCCCTATTGAATCCTTTTCCTTCTCATTTATATGGAGGAAAAAGCCATATACTATACAAAATAGGCCTATCATTCTACATATCATGACGGGTAACTAGTAGAGAAAATTGAACTCAGACCTCCAAGGAAAGAATAAAAAACATCAAGCTCTGGGCACCATTGTATATTATAGAATATAGATAGAGGACTTAATTGTGGGGTAGGCTGAGATACAAAATATACTACGCAAGGCATCAATGCATTATTGTTTACCTCTGCCAATTGGTTTCAGCTTGAAGGCATACAGTCGCTGGGCATTGTCACGAATAGCAACCTCAACCTGCCACACAGAAAGTTGAAAACCCATGAAGAAATTTAATAAATAAATAAGCCTCTGAAAAAATAGGAAATCATTTGTTGCATGTGAACAAGCCAAATGTGTTTTGTGTTAACTTTAAAAGAATTAGAAAACACGAGTACTACCACTCAACTCCTGTCTACTTTACAGGAACAATATCAAAACTCGCAAGAAATCACAAACAACCCCAAAACTGATAATGATTAATACCTGAGCATCAGTGACCTTAAAAACACGCTTCCAAGGTAAAAGGAAAGTTGATGCTTCTCCAAACACAAGAGTTGAAACATAAATTAGCTTCTGAAATGCCTGCACTGGAGACACTAACAATGGTCAAGCTCCAAATCTCCATTCAAAATCCTAAAGGAACCTACGAGATAAAATGGCATAGAAAGAAGAAACGAAACCACAAGTAACCCACCCGACGTTGCTCTATGTCATCATCACGGTCGCCAGTTTCAAGCCTCTGCCTGAAAATCCGCCTACCAATCTAAGGAGCCAACAAATGAAACACCATTTGAGAAAAATAAAACAAAGCTCTGTTTACAAATAAATCTGTTATCTTTCAAACTCTTTGATATAGACATAGATAACTAATATATAACTGATACATAACAATACCTCCACATGCATGGCAGCAGCATCTGGATCATCAATGCCCAATGCATTTTTAAATTTGATAATGGTTTCAACTTCATTGCCTTTCAGATCTTCACTTCCAGGAGGAAGCACAGCAGATACAAACCTGAGAGAAAACTCAAATTAAAATAATGAAAATAAAAAGTTACTTACCTAATGGAGAAAAGAGTTAAAAAAACAAAATGGACAAACATTGAGACAAAATTTCAAATGTAAGCTAAAGATTAATGTAAAAAAAAAGTTTCAATTGTCTGTTAAGCCCTACATTTGCTCAAGTTGCAATAAAGACAATAACCGAATGAGTAAGTATTAAAATTTAAAACGCACACACACAATTGAAAACACATAGATACTAGCTGATATTAAACAATATCCAGCCAATTTAAAAGCAAGCAGTATTCTTGTCTCTAACATATATAGTTCACCATTCAGGGGGGAGAGAGAGAGAGAGATTGCAAGCAAGTGACCAAAAGGAACAGCTAATAATACCAATCTTTGGCTCCATGATTAGAATACTTTTTCACTCACCGGCAATACAAATCACAAAGTTCTGCATTAAATGCCTCATTTTGTTTGCTAACGCCATACCTGAAAGATTAAGAAGAAAAGAAAAATGATGGGAAAAAACAGCTCAAGGAAAACAGATACAGGAGAAAATGATGCATATATATATATATATATGAGAGAGAGAGAGAGAGAGAGAGAGAGAGAGAGAGAGAGAGATTGATTCAAAGGGAAAAGCCAACCTAGTAGGCTTTTCTGAGGTTTCAAAAGCAGGAAATCATAAACATAAATGCTTTGCTCCTTTCTGAGATTAAACATTGCTAGACCAAAATCATGAAATCCATCTTTATAAACAGCACTTAAACAAAAAATATCTAAATTTTAAATTTCAAAACAGTCATGTAGGGCATATCTGATGTCCAAATCTTCAACCCAATCATTAAATTTCTATTAAATTTAATATAAGATTCTCCGAAAGCTCAATTGTCAATCCAACACACCCGTAATTTTCAAGTCTTTTCAAGAGATTACTCATCCACATCTTATTTACTTTCACAGCATAAATTACCTAAACCCATGAATACATATTTAGCACCTATCAAACTCCAACTATCATACTTAAACCAAATTAGGGGAAAAAATTAACCAATAAACTGACTTTCTCACAAGCTAAAAGTACTGTCTCAGGTATAAGAGTATTGACAAAAACATAACTAACTAACTAACTAACTAATTACAGATTCAAACTATTGAAAATTCACCAAAAATTATACTAACTTGTTTGCAATTCCTTCAATATCTTCCTTCTTCAATGCAACTGGATCATCAGAACCAGCCACATAATTGTGCAAATTCACCGCCGCAAGCTCTGGAACGCAAGAATTCAGAGCATAAGCGGCTCCGGCTCCAGCAGCGCCGAGAGCGACGGCGCCGCCCAGTCCAGCGTTCCGGGACCCACCAAAACGAAACCCTAATCCATATCCAGCAGCGACGGCGCCGGAGACGATGAGAGCCGAGCTGACGAGCCTGAGCGGCGGCGACATGGCGTCGACGAGGGATTGGAGCCCAGTGAGGTCCTTCTTGCCGCCGAAGACATCGGAGGTGATGGAATTGGAGGTTGGTTGGGATGGGGAGTCAGGTGAAGAGCATCGGACAGTGGAGATTCGGTATCGGAATCGAAATTTGTGGTGATTGCGAGTGAGTCGGAGAGAGGTGGGGTTGGTGAAAGGAGAGAAGAGGACGGTGGGGTGTGAAGAGGAAGGTGATGGGAAGAGAGTTGATGGGTTCATGGCTCTCTCTCCTCACTCTCTCTCTCTCTCTCTCTGGAGAGGCTTGTTGGTGTTGAGAGAGTGTACAATGTGTAGGGTTTAACGAAGAGAGTGAAGAAGAGGAGATAGGGATTTGGGCGGGGAGAGAAAGAGAAGGGGGCGGAGATACAGATAAAATGAAGATCTAATATTATACTTAACCCCCTACCTGTTTCTCATATTTTACTAAGTTGCCCCTAGTTAACAAGAACATTAAAGCCTCCTTTAGGAATAAGGCCAAGTTTGAGAAGTCCCAAATAATTCATCTTTTCATCTTTTTATCTTTTTTCATTACATCATCTCTTTACTTTTCTGTACATATTTTCGTAAAAAGACAAAAAGTGCACTTATTTAGGTCATCCCAAATAACCCTTAAATTATTTTAATAATTTTTTTAATTTTTAACTAAAATATGAGATAAAAAAAATTAGTATATTTGGAATGATTTTTTTGGCTATTACGATCTATCATTTCCATCTTTCTTCCACTTCCGTTACCTCTTTCACTTCTTCTTTTTACCGCTACTTTTTTTTTTTCTTTTTTCTCTTTGTTGCATGTGGCATGCTTAAGGCACAAAATATGTTCAATGATAGTTTTTTGAGTAAACATTATTGGTTAAATAGTTGACATCCAAACAAATATTATTGGTTTTGTGGTTGATACTCGAATGATGATTATTAGTTTGACATTGGTATTCTAAACAATGAAAAATAGTATGGAAGAGGCTAACGATGTCGGGAGAAAGGTGAAGCAGTTGGCGGCACCAATGAAGACATGGAAATAATAAGGAAGGACATGAGGTAGTGCTTGACGAGTGTAGATTTGACTACGATATAGTTATAGAAACTATGATGATATGGGGATTAAGGTTTGAGATATAAAAGATAATGATATTTTAGTAGTTTTATTTTAAAATAGAATTGTAACTAAAAAAAATTTATGGACTGAGCCAAGTAAAAAGGGTATTTGGAAATAGAAGTTTTCCTTTTTTAAAATAATAAAAAATAGATTATCACTTTTGTCATTTGAAATTTGTTTTATATATAATTAAGATACAGATGTAATTCAAGACAGTGTAACTAAAGTCCGATTCAATTTTTTTAGGCTTGATATATTTTTGAATGTGATGAGAGTTTGAGTAGCAATTTAGAAGTCCAAATTGAATTTAGATCCGGTCTAAGTAGATAATTGAGCAATTCAAAGTTTGAATTGTACATATAAATATATAATAATATTAAATATACATATAAAATATTAATGATTGGATTACGCTATTTTTTTTTTTTTCTAGATCTGAAATGGTTGATGATGTTGATGATGTAGATGAATGGTTGATGACCCCTCCAGTTCTTCTTCTTTCTGCTCTTCCTTCTCTTCTTCTTCTTCTTCTTCTTCTTTTCTGATTTTCTTCTTCTGGAAAAAAAAAAAAAAATCAAAACGACGAAAACGACGTCATTTTGATTTTGGGAAGATTCAAGGGCCTCTCTTTCGAGCTACTAATCAATTCTGTTCGAAAAAATAGGACCAAGCAAGTTGGTTTTGTGGTTGATACTTGAATAATGATGATTAGTTTGACATTGGTATTCTAAACAATGAAAAATAGTATGGGTGAGGCTAACGATGTCAGGAGAAAGGTGAAGCAGTTGACAGCACCAATGAAGGGATGGCAACAGTAAGGAAGGACATGGGGTAGTGCTCGACAAGTGTAGATTTGACTACGATATAGTGATCAAAACTATGATGATATAGGGATTAAGGTTTGAGATATAAAAGATAATGATATTTTAAAAGTTTTATTTTAAGATAGAATTGTAACTAAAAAAAATTTATGGGCAGTGTGAGCGAAGTAAAAAAGGTATATGACAATAGAAGTTTTCCTTTTTTTAAAATATAAAAAAAAAAATTATTGCTTTGTCATTTGAAATTTGTTTTATAATTAAGATACGGATGTAATTTAAGAGAGTGTAACTTAAGTCCAATTCATTTTTTTTAGGCTTGATATATTTTTGAATGTGATGAGAGTTTGAGTAGCAATTTAGAAGTCCAAATTGAATTTAGATTGGGTCTAAGTAGATAATCAAGCAATTCAAAGTTTGAATTGTACATATAAATATATAATAATATTAAATATACATATAAAATATTAATGATTGGATTACGCTAAGATTATCTAAACTACTTAATTAACCCAAATATATCTCTTATACCTCATATGCACAAATCCTAGTCTCATATTTATCATTATCGTCTCGATTCTCTGTCTCTACTCTAAATCTTTATTATTTTATTTTATATATTCCTACAATAACTTTTTTAATTTCTGTTTTTCAATGGTTGAATTCACAAAACTCTCCTTTGTGTCAACAATGTAATGGTAGAGTTCACTCTCTTTCATATGATCCATATAGGAAGAAATCCATCTAAACTGGCAATTCAAGTTATAGATGTCTATGAGCCTATACATCTTCATATCTACCCTCTTTCCTGAGCACAGGGCTCCTTGGCTCTATGCCACATTAATTGTATGCATCTCGAACAAGGTCCTACAAACATACACTTCTCTTGTATCTAGTCGCTTCGCAAATATGAATAGGTTATAAAGAAGAGTGGATTGGTAAACAAATTATTTATTATGTTAATCTTGTATGGTAACTCTAAATGCACCAAAAAAATTAAGTTACGCATCTCACTACTAGGAACATCCTAATTAAAAATTTAAATATTTATTTATTTGTTTGGGCACCCTAAATAATACCTATTATAATCTTAAAAATAAAAAATAAAAAAATTCTAGAAATTCTACTTTTTACACCCTAAGTCTAATAGCTTTTCATCTAGACACTCTGTGTCGAACAAATTATATATGTCCAAAAATTTAATTCCGAAAATATGAAGTTTCTTTGAATACTCAGTACTGAACAAATTAAATATGTTCGGATACTCAGTTCCGAACAATAGAAAATTGGTTGCAGCATTTTCATTTGAATACTTAGTGCCAAACAAATTATATATATCTGGATACTTAATTATGAACCTATGAAGTTTCTTCGGATACTTAGGCCTCGTTTGGTAACTATCTTTTTTATCCAAAAAGCCAAAAAGTTACTAAAAAAGTCAAAAAACCAATAACCTATACCAAAAAGTCAAAGATTCATTTTTCTCTTTACTTTTTGCACATCTTTTTGTAAAAAGCTAAAAAGTCATCCCAAACATATTAGTTTTTTTTTTACATCATATTTTAGCCAAAAAATCAAAAAGTTACAAAAAGCCTGTTCCCAAACGATGCCTTAGTTCCTAACAATAGAAAATTGAATTGTAGCATTTTCATCTAGATACTCAGTGTCGAACAAATTATATATGTCCAAAAACTTAATCCCGAACCTATGAAGTTTCTTCAGATACTTAGTTCCAAACAATAGAAAATTGAATTATAGCATTTTCATCTATGCTGAACAAATTATATATGTTCGAAAACTTAATTCCGAACATATGAAGTTTCTTCAAATACTCAATTCTGAACAATAGAAAATTGATTGCAGCGTTTTCATTTAGATACTCAATACCAAACAAATTATATATGTTCGCATACTTAATTCCGAACCTATGAAGTTTCTTCAAATACTTAGTACCGAACAAATAAAATATGTTTGGACACTCAGTTCTGAACAATAGAAAATTAGTTGCAATTTTTTCATTTGGATACTCAATGTCGAACAAATGAAATATGTCTGGATACTCAGTTCCAAACAAATGAGACATGTGCAAATATTCAGTTTTGAACAACATAAAATTAGTTCCAACTTTTCCATCGAGATAGTCAATTCTAAAAATATTAAATTGCCTCAGTTACAAGCAATAACTTTTGGTACTTAAAATACTAAATGCTTGGCCTCGTTTGGTAACCATTTTGTTTTCAGTTTTCAGTTTATATTTACAAAAAATTTAAATACTATTATAAAAACTTGTTTGATAATTTTTTTGATTTACAAATGATTGGTATCAGTTTACAAATTTGACCAAAAATTGTAAACTCAAAAAATGAGTTTAAGTTGGTTTTTAAACGAAAAACGGAAGCTGAAAAAATGCAGATAAACCATATTTGGGAGGGTACGTAAGTTTGGTAACGTTTACGTTTTCAGTTTATATTTACAAAAATTTTATAAACTGGTTTTTGTTTATTTTTTGTTTATTTTTAGAAAAACATAGTGTTTGAGTGTAAGAATTTCTTACAGAGATGTTCGTCCTGCGTATTGGGGGCGCAGTCATGCTTTTATACCTTCTGAGCCCCATATCCACTCCCAGTCATCTCCTGACACGTGGCTCTGCTATCCCATCTGTCAGCATAAACCATGCCATTCACCACCTAACCTCAACTGCCTGACTTCACAGCTGGAGCTCGGCAGCCGAGCTGCTCTACCTCCGCCATGTCGTGCTTCAAACCCATGCGCCTAGCCGGACAAACACATGAAGGACCGGGCTAGGCGGCGTCTCGGCAAAGCCTAGCCCGGGCACCACCTTTGGTTGGCCTTCTTGCCGGTCAATCAACTACCTCGGCTGACCGCGCCTTTCCGGGCGCCGGTCTCTCGGTCTGTCTGGTTTCGACCATCCTCGGACCGAGCATCCTGGTCTGACCGGTCACTTCCTGGCCGAGCGGTTTCTGTACGGTCCGGGGTGGCACACACACTCAGTCCAACTCTGCCCGGCCCAAGTTCTCTCAGCCCATTTCCGGGCGGATAGTTGATCAGCTCGGCCCCATACACCGTTGGGCCCTCAACCTGCTCGGCCGTCACCTCGGCCCAACTCCAGATCATAAATTACCCTCTCACTATTATAAAAACTTGTTTGATAATTTTTTTGATTTACAAATGATTGGTATCAGTTTATAAATTTGACCAAAAATTATAAACTCAAAAAATGAATTTACGTTGGTTTTTAAACGAAAAACGAAAGCTGAACAAACGTGGATGAACCATATTTGGGAGGCTGCGTAAGTTTGTGCCATGTTCGAAACTGCGTAGAAGCAATTTTCAAGTTCCCAAAAATACAACGGTAATATCAAAGTTATCTCTGACTTTAGATCATCGTCTTCCTCTACTTTCTTAAGTTGTTCAAAGAC